ATATCATCTGGGCGGGTATATCTTTTAATCTGGGCGGGTATATCTTTTGGAAATCGACCACCTGACCAGATTCCCGGTATTCCGATATTTCAGTAGGCAGGTATAGTTAGCGCCCGCACTTACTTTGCCCGAGGCTCGTTTCTTATTTTGTCCATGGGGTACACTACCCAACAGCGACTGTATAGGTTTTCGTATAGGCTTCTTGGCTGAGCACGTGTTGTTATGGCCAAGTCGAAGTTCTTAACCCCTTTAGGGCTAGATCGCCTTTTGGGGACACGTTTTGTCCCCATCTTCTTGACCTGCTCCACCTGGCGACGAATGGCATGACTGTCTCCTCCTTTGAACGACTCGACCAGGGGGGTGCCAGGGTACACGGGGACGAATCTAGTCTAGTATGGATGCTTTGTAGAGTGGAGGAGTATGAGGGTAATGAACAGGTCAAATAGCGGGGCGATTACGCCGCTGGTTCAACAGCGAAGTTGAGCCGCGTCTGTCTACCCTTGGGTGGAAAGCACTACTAGGGGCAAGCGCGGAAGAAGTACCTAGCCCACCGTTGGTAGGAGGCACCGGGCAACCTAGGGCTTGGGTTAGAAGGTCTCGCTTTCCCTCTAGAGAAATATATTGAAAACCTCCTTTTTGTGCCAACGTTTGCGGCTGGATTCCCGGGTTGTCAAGTGGGGGCTAACAGTAGTAGCGGAACAATGAGTGGTTAGCGATGTATGAGCGTTCCCCCTTTGCTCAGATTGCCTGGGAGTGAGCGATAGCGAGCGTCTGAGAGAGAAATGAAGGATAAGGAAGGAATCGAACGGAAGCAAAGTGGCTCCAACCTCCACGCTGCAATCTCGTCCCATCAAGAGGCGGTCGAAAGCTAGCTGCAGAAAATGCAAAAAAAAAAAAAAAGCTGCTTGAAAAACAGACAGACACGCGCGAACGAACGGCTCCCCGAACACCCTCTCCACTGCTGCTGCTGCCACTCACGACCAGGCAACAAAAATGTGTAACTGTTCTTATAGCCATTCGCTGAACATCAGAGTGTAGATAGACTAAGAAGGTGGTTACAGATTGTACCAAATTAATGTTGTATGTACAAGTTTCCATGCTACGTTTCGGGGAATCGGGGAACTAATATACCGTCAAATACTACGCTGAACATGTGATGTGCGCTACACGAAGCAGCGGGGTAGTTGCGCCGGTATAATAATACGCCTGCCTGCCGGACCTCACGGGCACTCACTTACCCAGCCCCCTATCTAGTCTACGCAGATATACATGTACGGCAGTGTGTGTTCTTCAGTTGCCGAAATAAGTACCCGCCAGAGCTCACCGGCACTAACCAGCAACGTACCGGCACTAACTACTAGTTAGTCTTGTACTTCCTCTGTCACATAAGTAAAGTCCGTTATACACGGCCATTTAGCCGTGTCCGATGTCTTAGGCGATACTTTTTTTGAAATCTTGAGCGTTTTTCGGGTTGAAACCCATATTTCTTTTTTTTTCTTGCGCACTACCCTGCATGCACTAGCGGCTTACAAACAAGTAGTCAGGCCAAAAAAGGCCGTATTTTGCCCCTTTCCATGAGGGTGGGGGTGGGGGCACGAAACGAAACATACCAAAAAAAGGCAAGAATTATCCCGAACCCTAAACCCAAGGTCACCTCTACTGAACGATC